GCAGGCGCCGCGCCGTCAAAGTCAATTTTCAAGAAGATTCTCGATGTTGTTTTGTGGTGGGGGCTGTTCCGTTGCCGCCGCTGCCGCAGCTGCCACCGATGCTGCGATCGGGTTCTCCGCCGCATCTTGTCGTAGTTCACGGATGGCCGCACGCTGGAGTTCGTCCGCGCCGAACCGTCCCTTGCCAACGAACGACTCGGGCGGCTTGTGATAGACAGAGGCCAAGGTCGAGAGCTCCGAAAGAAGCTGTTCGAGCAGCGCAGGAGGTAGACTGGACATGGTAGTGGCAATCGCCGGCTTGTGAGACAGAACAATGCTCTTGGCAACATCGAGATCGCCCGACAGAAGTCGCCAGTAAACGTACGCCCTGTCGCGAATATCAGGGTTGTCGTTGTCTGTTGTGGCTGATTGCAGCACCTTCTGTACCAATTCCTGATTGCTCCCGGGCTTCTTGAGGAAGAGCTTCACCACCGCAGTGAGAATTTGCAGTTGAGTCTGAACGACGTTAGTCATATCCGGTCTTCAACGGTACAAGCCACTTACCTGAGTGAATTCTTCCATGAACACTTCCACGAACCCGGCGAGAATCTCATCGGCGTTACTGATCTTCTCGGCGTACTCTCCAACAATCCAGATCAACGAGCCACGTGCTGTTGGCTCGTCTAGCTCATCGATGTACTGACAAAGAGTCGGGATGACGCCTTCGTAGCCAGGATACTTGCGCAGAATGTCCTTGATCACGACGACGACCTCCTGCACAACATAGTTGACCTTGGTGGCAATCAGATCCAGAAGCGCATTGACGCACTTTTCGCTGGCAGATTCAATCTTGATGGCCACCTGGCCGATCGCCTTGACGGCCCTCTTGACGAAATCCATATCGACTTCCAAAGCATACTCCTTCAACTCGGCCAGCAACTGGTCAAAGTTCTTGTCGTTTGCTATCCTCACCATAATCTCAAGCTTCTGTAGCTTGACATACGGCGGATCGTTGTATTTGCAAAAGAAGACTCGCAACTCCTTGCTGAGAATGTCTGGCTTGGCCTGGAGCAAAAGATCGATGTTGCGCAGCGCAACGTACTGCACCTCGGGGGCCGAGGCTACCAGCGTCACCAGAGGTGGGGCCATCTTCTTCAGGTATGATCGGACGGTCTCGGGGTTGATCGATCTCATGTGGATGAAGACAACCTTCACAGCTGCCAGCACCACGCTCGGGTTGACGTGCTGGAACTGTGGCGTGACCCTCTCACAAATGTGCTCCGACTCCTTGACGTCCTGGGTAGGGTAGTCGGCCAGTGTCGACAGAATGGTGACACGTCCCCACTCCGTACACTCATTAAGCGCAAGCAGCAGCTTCTTCAATATCGCAGGGGTGATGACGAGAGCTCGTGTCTCCGGCGCCGTCTCGCTGATCTCTGCTAGAGCTTGGACAGAGTTTGCGACGACCATCGGGTTGGAGTCGCTGATCAGCTCCTGAAGCGATTCTAGGAAGCCATTCTCAATACACATTGCCGGGTTCAGGTCAAAGAGCTTTGCAACACAAATGGCGGCCGTCTTGCGCACGTAAGGGGATTCATCTCGGAGCGTCTTTCTCAGGGGTTCTTCCATATAATCGACCATCTTGTCGACACGGATGCAGCCCATGGTTCTAATGGCGAGAGCGCGAACCAATGGGTTGGGGTCTTCTGTATCTTGGACGAACGTGTTGACGGCGAGAATGCAGAGGTCGGGATGCGATTTTGCGTAGTTCCTGTGATTGTTAGCATCCAAAGCGACGCCCAGGCCCATGGTAGAAGCGCTGCTTCATGAGAATATGCCACTCACATTAGGTAAAGGTAGACAAGCTTCTTCTGGTCCAGATCACCAGTTGCAATGTTCTTGAGCACATCAGGAAACAGCGCAGACACGTCCTTGCCTAGCGTCATAGCCATGATCGTCTTCTGAATGGACTCCTTGCGCTCATAGGCATATTGAGACACCAAGCCGGCACGCAACTCAAACGTCTCTCCCTTCTTGGGCGGAGCGAAAGCCCCCCGAATGCGGTTGACCGCCATCGTGGAAGCTAATCAGGAGGTGGAGGGGCACGAGTGCTCGGTTTCGGTCGTGTAGGTGCGGGTCAGGCAACGGGCGGTTGGGGCTGCCAGTCCTTCTTGGAGCTGGAAAATTGTCGCCCAGAGATTCGCGCTGCCGGGCTGGTTATCGTGTTCGTAGTGTTTGATGCACTAGATGCAGGTCGTCGGAGTCGCCAAATAGACAAGTTGGGGATGGGCGAGCTCGCGGGTGCCTCCTGGACACTTGGACCTTTCATGGGGCCTTGCCTAATGATGGGACTATCGGACATGTGCATATCTCTGACAGCTCCACCATGGGGTCGCATGCTTGTACCGAGCGAAGCAAGTCAACCAAGAGGCTGAGCTGATCTCAAGGAATTCCAGTTTGCTCATGCTCCCATCCCCATCAATCAACATATGAGTGGATGGCGAAATGCAGCAGCCATTGAAGCGATTCCGAAAGCCCAATATTTGAGTTAATCAGGCGACTGCCAAGTTCGACCCGCCACCTCTTCGCTAGCCCCGCGAATGCAATGGTGAGTCTCCTTCTTAAACAAACTAGACGTGGCTGTAAGTTCTGACTTGGTAGGCGAACTTTCCAAACCTGCGACGACTTTTTATTGAGTCTCGGACAGATGATGAGGAGCGCGCGGTCTCCAGAAAAGCGGTAAGTACAACAAACCGGCAACAGAGCGATAACTGACTTTCGGCACAGTTCTACAACGCAGTACTTTTCATGGGATCAGTTGCCGTCTTCAGCCTGGTCGCTCAGCGCATGAATGCTGTGAAATGATTCAAGGTTGATCTGAGCACTGCGATGTCACAGTGGTTTCGAATGATTTTGGCAGACGGTGTTCTTTTGAAACGTGGTCCGACCCAGCTATTGCGAGCGTGCTATAGAAGTTATGAGCGCACGACTCCCCTCTACACGATGCCTGTGGTCTCAGAGCTTCGTATCGCCTCATCATTGATGGTAAGGCTGAGAATCATTCATCCTCTGCCGCATCTACTGCCGCAGGTATCGTCTTCAATTCTTGTTTCCTGAAGAGTGAGGCCAAGAACTCATTCGTACTCGCCTCATCCAAGCCTTTGTCATCGCGTTTCTTTAAGAACCTCGGAAATCGCAAGCTCAAGCCTCGCTCCTCGCTCACCAAGCCTATTGCTGCTGTGTATGTCGGGCTGAGCGTGACATCCGCGAACGCCATCTCCCAAACCTCCTGCGGCTCAAACCAGACATCCGGGTTCCGGTCCGGAGTACTCAATAAAGGCAGGCTTTGAGGAACGAATATTTGTACAACGCCGCTTCTTCCGCTACGTCGTCATAAAATCCTATAGCTTTGTAAAAGGTATCGGTAAAGCCTGATATGCATTTGCACACAACCTCAAACGAGCCACTGTCTTCGTTGCGGACAGCAAGCAGAATCGGCGACCACCATTTGGCCTTGCGCCCTTGGCCATGCCAACCAGCCACAGGGACCATATCAATGGTGTCGAAACTTGCGTTGTAATCTTTCTTGACCTTAAGCCATGAGTCGAGTCGCTTATCGGGCTCATAGGTTGCCAGCAGCGGTTTACGTCGCGTTTTCTTTTTCGCGCCATTCTCAGCGGTCTTCCCCGTAACCTTACGTTTTGAAGGTGTATGTGGTTCCTCCATCTCATCCACAGGGGCGTCAACCTCGCCCCCTTGGTAAGGTATCTCGGTCAAATTGTCCAGAATCTTAACCATGATACCCTCGCACTTGACGTCGGTAGCAGATTTGAAGAAGTCGAGCACTGCATCGGAATCCTGCGAAGTAGCGTCTAGGCTCTTGACCCATGTAAACTGGTGGGGGACCTCGATAAACATCGACCGAAGGAGCTCTCTCCTTTCGCGGAAAGGTCTGTCGAGTAGTGGCTCCCCATTGAGGTACATCAGGTCGAAGGAGTACATGCAGACATCGACTTGAATACTCCCGATTGCGACATCTTTTCTGGCGCGGTTGGTCAGAGCTTGGAAGTTTTTCATATCTCCCGTCTGCCGGTCGATTGCCACAACCTCTCCCTCCATCACAAAGCTGTCGACACCTTCACCCCGAATCTGCGGCATGAGGGCAACCAAGTCGGGGTACTTGTCCGTCATCAGTTCAAGATGCCTCGAGAAGATGCTTACTTTTCCCTTGACGTCGCAGTGAATCTGGGCACGCTGACCGTCATACTTGTACTCGCAGGCGAAATCCCCGCCTTGGAGCTTGGTAAGCATCTCCGTAAGATCTCGCGTTATGCTACCAAGCATGGGTCGGAGGGGAATATGCAGGGTGAGCCCACAGCGGAGGAGAAGCTCATCACAAACACCAATCTCGAGAAGAATGGGTACAAGGTCGTTGTAATTTGGCCTTTTCGCGAAGCAGGCTTTTACAATCTCCTCCGCTTTTGCCCAAACCTCTACAAGCTCCTCCTTTTTCAACTTGGCGAGGCTGCCCCTGTCGCGGACAGCAAAATCTGCACCAGGAGGGGAAGTGATAGAAAACGCCCGGGCAAGCGCGATTAGCATCGTGGTTTTGACAGCGCCGATACGAAGCTGCAACATCAGCTAAATGGCTTCGAGAACGAATAAGACACAGACTCACATGTTGGCAAAGTGTACGAACAATGTACCTGCTTTCTTCGCCACCTCTTGCATCTTGAAGCAGACGATCGACGATTCTCTGTTTCACTTCACCACTGCCCTGACCTTGGGTGTTGGCAATCTTGACCAGAGATTGGTAGACAGCCTTGATGGTCAGCGGCTTCGGCTTCCGAAGCGTGAAGCTCTGTTTCTTCTTGGCTTCGAAGGCCACATCTCCCGCATCGCCGTACTTGTCGTAGAGATTCTTTAGCGAGGGTCCATTGAGCCCACAAACTTGCTTCAGAGCTTTGGATATGGCTGACCCACAAGACCCAATTCCAAGGAAATGTAGGGCGGCGAAATGGCGTTTGTCGCTAGCCAAACAGCGGGGAGGAGACTTTCGGGATCCGTCTGAGTGATAAGTCTGATGAAATTCACAAGAGTGTCCACTATCTTGATCCTTGATTGCGTGCTGTTGACCAATACGAAACACCTGGTGAGCAGGGCATATGAAGCATCGCCACTTCGGAAGCCCAGTGATCTTTAAGGTGCGATGCATACTCTGAAGGGTCAAAAACCAGAGAGCTCTGATCCAGGGGTATGGTTGAAGAAAGTGAGTCTCCAGCTGCGGCTGCAGACGAGAGGGACAGAGTCTTCGGTCCTGTACTTGCAAGCGTGTTTCTTCACGGGCGTGGCGGCTGATTTCGCGACTTGAGCTGAAGCGGTAGAACTTGGATCGAGAGCTGGGCTTGCGCTACAACGCAGAACTAGCTGAGACTCAGCCGAAAGAGTTTCTGTATTTTGAACCTCGCTATCCCATTCAGCTTGAAGCTTCCGGGCTAGCTCCTCATCGGTGAGTTCCTGTTCACTTTTGGGAGCCTCGCCCACATCCTGCTTTAGTTGTGGCGGTGTAGAAGCAGCCGATGAGTCGCCTTGCTTCTGTTTCGAGAAGAAATACTCAAGACCACGCGATGTTGGGCCACTTGCATCCTTGTTGAGCTTCCGCTTCTTCGTCGGACTCGGCATGATGCTCACGGAGGCGGTGGATATGGTGATGCGCGCGGTGTTGGCATGATAAGCGCGCGATATAAGGCGAGTTACTACACGTATTAGACACAACCCTATGGCGATTGTTGGGTTTAAAGCAGTCGGATAATTGCGAACGCCAACGACTTGAGTGAAAAGACAAATACTGTAGTACAAATGACAACCACGGGGCTACGGCGTGTCAGTCGATGACGCAGTGTCGCGACCTCCACACGAAGGCACGTGCGCTAGCCTGACGTGTGGGTTCACGACCAGACCCCTGAGCCGGGTTTATCTTTTGCCGTATTCCGGCCCTAATCCACATGTGTATCCAGCGCACACAACCCAACGTCGACGCTGGAAATCTTTCCACGCCTGCCCCACCATCGAGCCCCCTCCAAACCACATCACGACGTCGACGACAGCCGCCGACACTCTCTCAAGATGAACGGCGAAGATCCGTCCGAGAGGCCCGACTACATTGTCAACATCATTAATGGCCTTGAGCGATACAACCCCGAGGCTGTAGGCACTCTTGAGGGCTACCTCACCGAGCAGTGCGAACAAAAGTACACCGATTGCAATGCCAACAGAACGCTCCTGAAGCTGTGAGTGCCCCCTTTTCGCGATGCGCATAGCCTTCCGGTCTCCTCTATCGAATGCCATGATGACTAGTCAACGTTTCCTATTACCTGAAAACAGCTTTGCTGCTTGAAGTGAACATAAGTGTTACTGAGCACATCGTCCTGCACAATCCACTCATCAGCCAATGTGTCGCGACATCGCATCGCTAATCCCCGCTTTCGCGACGCTTAGGTACCAGCTCAACCCCGACCGCACCAAGGATGAGGTCGTCACCAACATCCTGGTCAAGGCCATGACCCAGTTCCCCTCTTCTCAGTTCAGCCTCGCCATGCACATCATCCACCCCACCGCCGCCGCCCAAGGCGAGCTCGCTGAGGCCATTGGCAAGCTGCGATCGCTGAACAACTGGCTCGAGGGTGCTGAATACGCGCGCTTCTGGAATGCCGTCGACGGCGACGACCTTGTCGCCGACCTGATCGCCGACATCGCTGGCTTCGAAGACATCATCCGACAGAATGTAGCCGTCCTCCTGTCCCAGGCTTACCGCCAGGTCAGCCTTTCTCAGCTGGAGGCATGGCTCGGACTTGAAGGTGACGCGGCCTCGAAGTACGTCAGCGAGGTGTGCGGATGGAAGGTTGAGAACGGCGAAGTCATCATCCCTAGCAACCCTGAGAACGAGGCCAAGAAGGCCGAGATCAGGGAGGATGTTGGTATCGATATGTTCTCCAGGGTCATTCGGAGGACATGGGAGGAAACCGCGTAAGAGCTCCGTCGGGGGAGTTTGGGCAGGGAAGCATGGCGGCAATCATCGGCGTTTTTACCTGCTTTGGAATTAGGGGTCATGTCATAGAGGCCCGCACATGAGGAATGCAAAAAGCTGGAGGCTTGGGCCTCAAATGGTCATGAATTTCACGCACTCTTGGACGTCACCATGTGACTTGCACATGGGTTATCATTTGCTCTGTGTATGCTTTTGAATCCCTCCAAAAGACGCCCTTCAATGCAGGCTGTGAAAGATCTTGGATGGGGCTAATGTCAACAATAGCATCACGCTGACCCCAACTTACTGCTGTAGTTCCTCCCATTGCACACCACACCATTCCTCCAGGTACCCAGCTTCTCCCCCCCCAACGGTCTTCTCCTGGCAGTCTGACTCGCACACGCCAACGATGATCGTGCCCCAGTCCATGCCTTCAAGCCCCAGCTCTTCCGATTCGAGCTCAGTGATGGCCTGTGGCGTTAACTGCACCTCAAACACCCTCCCAGCACCGCAGTTGCCGCATCCGGGCATTCCGCTTCGACCCACGGCTGCAGCTGCGGTGAGGACTTTACCAACAGCATCCTTCTTGGAGTAGATAAGTGGCTGACCGCCAAATTCATATCTGATCGACTGGTCCGGGTTCTGCGCCAGGCGATCCGCGAACTTTTGGAAAATGGCGTCCATAGAAGACTCGAAAACCTCCTTATCCATACCTGATCCGGGGCCTGAATCAGCAGTGGCATCGTCAACATCCATGCTCACATTCTGCGGCACAGTCGGTGCCTCGGGCTCCAGGATCTCATAGTCTGCTTCAGCAAGGTACGAAACAGGGTAAGGTTTCGGCAGCCTCGCGGCCTGTGGCCAGGGTTCAGGAGCAGGTGGAGGGCCGACTGGCTTTTGTGTGTTGTTGAGGGACAGGGTTTCGGCAAAGGTTTTGGAAAGTTCCTTGGGCGTCACCTCCTCAGCCTTGGGAGGTCCTGCCTTGGGCGCATCGGGCTTCGGCGCCGCGGGCGGAGAGGTGAAGGGGTTCGATGGTCCGGAGCTGAAAGGGTTGGCATTGGCGCTCGCGCTCGCGCTCGCGCTGTTACTGCTGAAGGGATTCGCGGATGAAGCGAAGGGGTTGGCGCCCGATGCGCCTGGCTTAGCACCGAAGAGGGCTTCTCCCAACCCAGGGCCGTCATTCTTTGGTTTGCTGGCCTCGGCCTTCTTCCTAGCGTCCTCGGCTGCTTTCGCTTCTTTCGCGAGTGCCGCAGAGGCAGCAGCCTCTTTTGATATTTTTGTACCTCGGATAGCGCGAATACTTCCTTGCTTACGACGGCAGCCCTGTTTCCGGCAGGAGAAAACGTAGAGGCGACGGTCGTGGCCAGGGAATTTCTCGGGGAGCTCGCCGTTGAGCTGGAGAAGAAGGACCATCATCTCGTTGCACACCTTACATCTTGCAAGGCTGGCAGAAGGCGCTACATCGGGGTTAAGCCATTCCTGCGTCAGATGGTTAGAATATTTGTTTGGTTGGGCGCATTGACATGGAGGGGTAAAGCTAAACTTACTGGGGAGCCACCCAAACGACTGATAGAGTCTTCGCCTGCGTCTTTGGATGCGTAGCCGAGAAGAACGCTGGTTTCAGTGAATGACTTGGCGTCATCGACGTCGGAATCACTGTCGTACGAAGGCATTTTGCTTCTATAGTCTTCCCCAGTTAGTTGGCTGCTGGTATAGTTGCGCCGCGGAGCTCTAAATTTTTGCTTCTGAGGGACCTGAAGTTGTCTTTGGCGCGGGGCTTATCTTATCAATGCTACGGCGCTCTAGTGCAACCAGAAGCGCCTTTGACAAGCTATGCTGTCCTTTGCATCGAGGTACCTACGTTACTATCATGACGAGTATTGTTCCATTTGTTTTCAATGACCAGCAGAGTTTCTTGTTACTGAACAGTTGGCATGCTCGTGACTTCTTTCCTCAGTGCTCCTGAATTGACATCGTGGGCAGCGAACGGACCGTAACGTGTGGACGAACCAGGTGATTGGTGCCCTCGTCAGTGCTGCGGTCACACTTATTTCGCTCTTCAAGCTCGAGTACATCGCTTCGACTTATTCCATGCTCAGTTTCAATTTCTTGAAGCACATGAAGGATATCATTCCAGGGTCGACTCGTCTAAAGTACAGCGCCTTTTTATCTATCATGCCAGACCTGTGAAACTCGTACCCATCATCTGATTTACTGCTCGGGGCCATCCATGCCAGGGCCAGGACCACCTTGCCTGCCCATCTGCCTAGCCTTGAGGAGCTCGTCGCAAAGCAGAAGGTTCGAGGCGATGCTGGAGCTTGATGCAACGCAGTTGCGAAGCACACGGAAGGAATCGAAGATACCCTCGAGCTCGGGGTCCATCGACTTACCAGTCGACAAATCCAGACCGACGATCTCGCCGTTGATGCACTGATCACGCATGTCCGCAACTAAAATGACGAGTTAGTTATGTAATCTCCTTCCGCACAGGAAATTTGACTTACGAGCATCCTGGACATCATGGCCAGCGTTGGCAGCCAGAGTCTTGGGAATGATGAGGAGGGTGTCCGCGAACGCTTCAACACCAAACTTGCTCTTGCCCTTCACCGTCTTGAGGAAGTCATGACTCTTGAGATGCTCGGCGCACGCAACCTGGAAAGCGCCACCGCCGGGAACCACGCTCTTGTCGACGATCATGTTATAAACGCTACGCAGACCGTCGCGAACGGCATCCGTAATCTGAGTGATGGTGTGTGCGTTGGGTCCCTTGATCAGGAGCGTGACGGACTTGGGGTCCTTCACCTCCTCGATGAAGGTGTATTTCTCCTCGCCAAGCTGCTGCTCATAAACGAGACCAGCCCAGCCGAGGACGTCGGGGGTAAGGTCATCCACGCTGTTCTGAGCAATACCACCGCAAACAAGCTGGAGCCTCTCCATGTTCCTCCTCTTGGCGCGGCGCAGGGCTAGGATGCCGTTCTTCGCCAGCACATCAAGAGACAGGGGATCGATACCCTTCTGGTTGACAATAACGAAGCTCTTCTTTGGGTCATTGCCGCAGACCTCCTTCTTCAGCTCCACGATCTTCTTGAGCTTCGAGTCCACAAACCGGCGCTCGCTCTCCACGAGCTTGTCCCTCTGGTCCGCGCTAGAGTAGTAGAAGCCCGAGTTGATCTCCGACTTCTCGTACTCCAAGCTGACGTTCATAGTCAAAATGAAGGCATTCTCGAGACGCTTGGGCATGTCGGGGTGCCTGGCACCGTGGTCGAGGGCGAGGCCCTTGATGAGCTGGGTATCGGATCCTGACCTATGCTGCATCTTCATGATCTCAACCATATGCAGATCAGGCTTAGCGGGAGCCTGGTAGATGGAAAGCACCGCATCGACAATGGCGGGTGTCAGCCTGGTGGCCAGAGTGGGGTTGAGTTTGGTGGCCAGCGAGGTGCGGGCGACGTTGAGGCACAGCTCACGGTCGACCTCCTTGGGAAGCTTAAAGTCTTCGAGGAACTTGAGAGCCTCATTCTTGGCGATCTCGAAACCATCAGTGATGACGCGCGGGTGCAAGCCCTCGGATATGTATCGGTCGGCCTGCTTGAGGAGCTCTCCAACGAGCAGCACCACTGAGGTAGTGCCATCACCGCAGATATCATCTTGCGCGGTGGCGGCGCGAGCGATCATGACGGCAGTCGGGTTCTGTATTTGCATCTCGCGAAGTAGGACGTTGCCATCCTTTGTGAGCTTGATCTAGAGGGCCAAGGAATTAGCGGATTCTCAGGGGCGGCGGGGCGTAGGTCGAGATATACTTGTCCGGAGCCGTCGACAAGCCTGTGTACTGATTAGCAAAGCGCTACCATGTTGAAGTCGGCAATACGAACATTTTGATGGTGCCGAGAGGGCCGAGGTTGGACTTCAGGACATCCTGAAGGCCCTCTCCTGCGCTGATGTTGACCTTCAGAGCTTCACCCCGCCGCTACGACAGATTAGCAAAGCAGGTCACGCAGAGGCGAAAAGGGTGGATATGACGGACTCTGGACTCGGCCTTGGGGTTCAATAGTTGTGCGGCAGACATGTCGGGCAGTTGTGGGATGCGATGTCGAGGTTCGTGTAGTCGCAATAAGCTCGTACAGATTGTCGACGTTGGGCTGGTGGCACTTCCGGCGTGGTTGACCCATGTGTGGAAGCTCCAAAATGCGGGAACTTTTTTCTGCCTTACGGTTGAGGGCGGTCAGTGGGCTACAGAAGGCTCCAACAGATTCGACCGAAACTCGGTGAATGATGAGAGCTCGGTGAATCTGGCACGTGACTTCGTGCCGTGACGCGACATGCAGGGTCCTTTGACCCCACAATAGCTTTCCCTGTACCTCCCAGTCATCGTGGCCCCTTTAAACCAGCATCATCACAGACAGCTTTGCTGACTTCTTTCATCAGCCACCTTCGTGCCGAAGGACTGTGTTAAAAGCAGCCATCAAAAACCAATTCTTGTCACTCCTTAGTATCTGAATTTATTTAATTGGTCCTCGTAACCCCACGACGCCATGTTCTGGAAGCTCTCTACGGTCCTTTCGGCCTTCAGTTTAACTGCCCCCGCAGCTGACGTCGTTGAAAATGGGGGCGTCAAGCAGGTTGCTATCATTGGTTCGTGATGTCCTTCACTCATCTCATAACTCATATCAGCCAAGACCTCTTGCTGTGTTCGTGTCACAAGGCATCTTTGTCATGTTCTGTTCCTATCTTCCAAGGGCCCTAGAAGATGAAGCATATTAGCCAGCGCGCGACCTTGCTGTAACTGACACGAGTCTCAGGTGCTGGTGCTAGTGGATCTGCGGCGGCTTACTACCTCAGCAAATTTGCCGAAGAGGATGGGTCTCTCGTGAACATAACTGTGTTCGAGCGAACGGATCGAATCGGTGGCCGAACACTAACCGTCAACGCCTATGACAGCCCCAGCGAGCCCATCGAGCTCGGAGCTTCAATCTTCGTTGACGCCAATTACATTCTGATCAATGCAACCCGCGAATTCAACCTTGCACTCAAGGACCCCGAGTCCGGTAGTGGCGAGACGTTGGGCATCTGGGACGGCGAAAAGTTTGTCTTCATCCAGGATGATCGCTCTTGGGGCTGGTGGAACTTGGCCAAGCTTTTCTGGAAGTATGGAACTGCTCCTTACAAAGCGCAGAATCTCGTCAAGTCTACCGTTGCTGCATTTCTGCAGATCTACGAAGCACCGCACTTTCCTTTTCAGTCTCTCACCCAGGTGGCACAAGACTTGGGTCTTCTCAAGATCACCGGCATCACTGGAACCCAGTTTCTTGCCGAAAATGAAGTCTGTATCCCTGAACTCGAACCTAATGCTTGGTTACTCATCGTGATGTAGATTTCCGAACAATTCTCTCGCGAAATCATGCAGGCTGCAACTCGCGTGAACTACGCGTCCAACCTCCCCTACATTCACGGCCTTGAGACTATGGTAAAATGCACAGTCGTAATTATTGCGCGGCCGTACTGACTGTTCCCAAGGTTTCGATGGCTCCAGAGGGCGCCTCACAGGTTGTTGGCGGCAACTGGCAGATCTTCAGCAGCATGCTAGAGCACAGCAACGGCACGGTTTACCAGCAGACGTCAGTCGCATCGATCGCGCTCAAGAACCAGACGGACCAGGCTGCGCCAGCAAAATATCTTATCTCAACTAAAGCCGCGGGATCTAGCGCAGAGACGGCAAAGCTGCACCAAACAGCCTTCGACAACGTGGTGATTGCAACACCTTGGCAGTTTGCTGACATTGACGCCGAGAGAGATGTCCTGAAGACCATCGATAGCATCCCTTACACGCGACTGCATGTCACTCTTTTCTGCTCGCCATTCCTGCTGTCACCTACTTACTTTGGGTTGCCGGCTGACTCGAAGGCACCTGATACGGTTCTTACTACGCTTGGAAGCGAGGAACTCCCCAAACCTGGATCTGCTGGTGCTGGCAAGGCTGGCTTCTATTCTATCAGCACCCTGAGGACCATCGTCAACCCAAAGACACTCAAGGAAGAGTTTGCATACAAAATCTTTTCGCCCGCAGAGCTGACCCCAGAGTTCTTGTCCGCTCTTCTTGGTGTCAAGGTGCCTGATACTTTTGTCTCGGAGCAGAAGGAGGCCGTTGAGGGTGAGACAGTCACTGTCGACCCTATTTCGTGGTACTACCCCCATGCGTTTCACTCGTACCCTATGGAATACCCTCGCATTACGTTCCAGGAGCCCGCGCTCGGCAACGGGCTATACTACACCTCAGGTATAGAGAGCTTCATCTCTACCATGGAGACCAGCGCTCTAATGGGCAAGAACGTTGCCAGGCTCATTGCAGATGAGCTCGTGGCGGATGCCGAGAAGAATGTGCTTGATGCACCTGCTGTCGATCACAAGGCCGAGGATCCTGTGCAGGAAGTGCTTGGAGTGGCTGACAAGGTGGTCCAACAAGAGCTCTGAATCCCGGATCGCGATCCTTGTAACTTCTGAAAATTTATAATCCGTGGCGTTTAGTCCTACAATTTCACATCATCTGCCTCACCTGACTATCTAGTATGGAGGCGGGAGCTGGAAATCACGACATCTAGTGTTCTTACAGTGCAGTTCCACTTTTCAAATGTTGTAGCCTTCGCTACAAAGTAAAGCAAAGGTAACAAGACTTCATGCAAGCTTGAAAATGTCCGCCATGACATAACTGTCTTACACAGACACAGGTACTAGGATGGGTAGGCAGACGAGTTGGTCCGTGCCATGTTGGACGGGAACGGACGTGGCATGTGACGCACGTGATTGTAGCACGCTAGGCAGCCGGAATGTGGCGAAATTTGGTCACGCACCGCCACAAGGTCTACCCCTCCAACCAAAAAAACCAACAGTGTTTATTATGACGCAGCAGGCTTCTCCCACACGGTTCTTGCCGCAGATCGATCAGTGATACCTCTCTCCCATCACAAGTCGACCACGTTGCGGCCTACTGTCTGGAAGGTGCTTGCTCTTTGTTCATTGCCAATATCGACAAGAAAGAGAAAAGAGACGTCCGATCCGGGCATGCGAGTTTGACCTACAAGCTCTGCTTCTCCCAAGTTCCACATCACAGCCTTCCCACCCTCCATCATGTTTGTCCTCAGAAACGGTACGTTGCCCCGCATCGAATAACAGCACCCTGCTCGCAACCTCCCCCTCTTGTTGGCGCCAACCCGTGGTTGCTGTAATCGCGATTTCGCTTCGCCTCCTTGACATCCCATTTCTTCCGTCAGCACATTTCTTCGGACTTTCTTTCTATCTTAGTGACGAAGTCTATCATCGCTAACTCTGTGCACATTCAGTTGGCAAACTCATCTTCGGATCTACAAGCCAAGAATCGTTGATCGAACTGCCGCAAGGCCAGCTGTACCTCGTCCGACCTCTGTCACCCAAGGGCTACTCGGAACTCATCTTTAAAGACGCAACGGCACAAATTCGACGTACCGGCCAAGACTTCCAATACCAACTAGTGATCCAGAGAGTCTACGAGGAAGGCGAGGCTGAACTGTTGCTGAAGAAGAAGGGGAGGACGCCGAGATTGACGCGCTGTCTGCTGAACGAGACGAGAAGACATTTCTGCTCGACGAAGCCCTCCACTTCCGCGTCGAGATTCGTGAAGGGTCCGAGAAGGTCATCGCTTGGCGGGATCTCAGCGGGTGATACAGGCGACG